GAAGGAAGGTAAATGATTGGAAGGAGGGGGAAACCCCGAATCTGACCAGGTGCACGGAATACCCCACGTACGTGCCCTCATTGGCTTGTCTGGCCGTTTAAACGAACCTCCTTGCGAAAAATTAATTGACATATCGATCGACGTCGATACGTGTTCCATCCACCAGGCTTCTCGTTTCTGTTACTACTACGTAACAAGACCAGAACGAAATAATAAATACCCTCTTTCCTCCTCGATCGAGAAATCAAATAAGACGAAGAAACAATACAAGAAAATAAATAGAAAGCAAAGAAAAGTTCCTCCGAAATGAAAATTAATCACTCAAATTCCAAGCTCTAAGTTTGTTTTATTCGTTTTGGTCGTTGACGACGAGCAAGAAAATAATTATATCTATACATGGTACTGAACGATGATAATGAAATGAATATTGGTTAAATATACTTTTGATAAGTAAAAATTATATTCTCATGGAGAAGCATGTATACGATGTCACTTGGTTTATTTTAAAGGTATTGACTCGTAAACTCTCATAAATTGGCAAATGGAAGGAAAGTCCGTGCGTCGAGAGGTTAATAAAAATCCCGAAAAATGGATCAGAAAATTAGCGGAATATCTGTTCGGACACGAAGGGTACGTAACACGACCTTTAATCGCCTCCTCAAATCAACGAAAACGAGCATCGAACATTAATATGTGCTCTTATGCTTTCGGGACACGGAGATACTCACGGATAGAGGGTCTTCCCTGACTCGCTGTAATTAATTCACACCTACGATCGTTCTGAGGTAGATCTCCTGGGTGGAAGCACGAAAGGAGGGAAGAGTAAAAGAAAAATCGGAAAGGTGGTCCATCGACTGAAATTCAACGACGCGCGTGGAACGAGCACGATAATAAAAATATGACTCGCATCGGTCGTGTCGGAGAGTTTAGCGATCTCGTTCGACATTGTTTATCGTTGCTTTCATGCCGCTCACGCATGGCTACGCAACGACAAATACAGGGTGTTCTGAATAATGTGGTGGAGGATGATTTCACTTAGGAAGAAAAAAAAAAAAAAAAATGAAATAAAAGCTCCTCGCTTCGTATCTGTGAAAATTCCTTTTCGAAAATTCATTAGTAATAGTAGAAAATTCTTTTGCTACCATTTTATTTCCTAGGCAGTTAAATTTGAAAATGTCCTTGTAACCAGACTAATTTTTAGATAAACGTGTTTAATTTCCATTTTGCATTCCCGTAGGGAATTGATCTCTGAACGAATCTACACTCGACAATCTTCCGAACTCGATCTTTTTTGTAGAGTTCAACGAAACGCGAGCACCCTGTATGTCGTGGGCACAATGTGCGCACGACGGTCACGATTAGGAACGAACGGTTGAGGATAATATAATAACGAAAAAAAGGCTTGTAGATATAAAAATAAATAGTCAGGGAACGGTGAGGGCCGACGTGCCACACGCAGAGATCACGCGAGACGTGTTTATAGTAATGAGCCTTGTCGTTATTTGTCCAGCGAAAGGGATTTATCGAGATACCTCGTGAGATCTTGTTGCTCGATCTTCTTCTTCTTCTTCTTCCTCTTCTTCTTTTTCGTCGTCGTCGTCGTCGTCGTCGTCATCCTCGTCGTCGTCGTCGTCCTCGTCGTCGTCGTCGTCGTCGTGCTTATCTTCGTTTCTTCTTCTTCTTCTTCTTCTTCTTCTTCTTTCCTGCTCCTCCTCCTCCTCATCTTCTCCTTATTTTCATCTTCATCCTTTCCTCTTTCGTTCGTTGCGAGATGGCCATTCAATTTCTCCCCTGTTGCGGCTTTTCAGACGATTCGCTCGTATGAAAGGTTCGTGTCGCGGCGAGCATTACACGAATTGAAAAATGCGCGTGAGATGCCTCGCGAGCTTCGAGCCGGAGGAGCTTTATGGGGTCTTAAATGAAGAGGGAGATACGCGACATTGTTGAGACGCGTGGTCTCCGCTAATGAAAGACGCCTTTTTACGAGCATGCTGGTTAGTTTGCATAATTAAATTAAAAGAGCCGACGTGAAATATTAAAGTAGCGTTGCACGAGAGAGAAAGAGAAAGAGTTCCTCTCTTTCGTTCTTCTCCCTCACTTCTCACGAGAAACACCTCAGAATGTGTCGGTCTTCGTGCTTTTGCTATTCCTTTCCTTTTTTTTTTTTTTTTTTCTTTCATTATTCGTGCTGGTCGAATTTCAGAATAAAATCTAGAATCTAGATGAAGTCCAACTAACACGAACGTGCGAAATCAACATTCAATGAGAATCATTCAAATCCGCAGACATGAAACGAGGCGAATCGCACTTGTTTGCGAATTTATAAAAACATACAAAAATTGATCTGTCCATTTTGGTAGCTCATTATACATATGTCTGTTACGCAATTTGTCGAACTGTGCAAGATGCGAGACACAATTCCCTCCCCCTCAATTAGAAATTTCGCACGGCAGATGTTAGAAACTAGCTGGATCAGCACCGATTCGATTCGTTATCTCGGATCTGCATCGTTTTTAATTACAGCGTTCGCGCCTGCTAAACAATTATCCTCGAAATCGTCGGGTTCTCTGCGCGCGCCGATCTTTCTTCCTTTCTTTCTTTCTTTCCCTCTTATTTCATTTTTTATTTTCACGAGCCCTTCGGGACGTCGGGTGAGTGTCGGAGAGAGGGAGGAATCAGCCGGTCCGATCCACGGGGCCACGTCTCTCGTGTAATTTTCATCGAGTGGGTGGATACCCATTATTTCGCATTACAGGCTCCTTACCGGCACCGATCGTCCCGTGGAATCGCGGCCCCTATCGCCACTTCGCGTTACGTTCGCACGTCTTCCGCCTGTTTAACACGCTTCCCGACGCCGCGACTTTAAAATTCGACGACCGAACCAATCTCTCTCTCTCTCTCTCTTTTCTGCTTTCTCGACAACTCTTTTGGAAACGTTTACTTTGGAAATATATTTAGAGGTTTTTTAGACTGCTCATCAGAGAATTTTCCTTTCCTACGAGATTTTCAAATGCGCTCGCAGGAAATCCTGCTATTAGCAGCTGGATGTACGAGGAACTGCTGTTGCTTTGATCGATGTAAATTCGAGTGGTGAAACGAAGGATATCGTCTAATAATAAATATTGACATGAAAAGCAAAATACGAAAACGTGTAAAACACATAATAACTATGTACAATAACGAAACCGGTTGCTTTGGACGATAGAGAGGAAGCACGACCGTCGTAAATCATCGTCGCAACAAGATCGCTCTTAAAGTGGCCACAAGGTAGAGTAAATAGTTGACGAGGGAAACGAAAACAGGATGCAAACAGACCAACGGAATATCGTAGCGAAGTTTGCTTAGAGCAAACGCGACAGACTCAACCTGTGCTCAACGTGTTGACGTAATTATAGTGTTCGATGTGCGTTTGACCGAGCAGCATCTTGCAAAGCTACAACCTTGTATTATTTACCTAGGAGAGAGAGAGAAGGATGGGCCGTGATTCGTCGGTAGCTTTCAATTAGCTAGCGAACACCGCAAAAATCCCGATTTAAATTTCATTCGAGTAGGGGAAGGTAGCGTTGTGGTCTCGTCTTTAATGAGAAACGACGCGGAAACGGGACGCAAATTTCTTCCTTCGCTCGAGGGTAAACTTATTTACGGGTCGAATAGAGAGGATAGCGAGGATCGCGAGCGCGCAACGATTCCCATGGTGTCCCATGGTGTGTGCAACGCTATGGAAGAGCGGCAAAAAGCGAAAAAAGAAGAAAAGAAAAAGAAAAAAGAAACAAGATAGAAGAAGAAAACGCTGGATCGACTGGCGAAACACAGCGTGGAACGCGAGCGGCGTGGAAGACTGTAGTTAGCGACTATTAATATCATCGATCGGGATCGATAGTTGCCTGCGAGGCGTCATAATGATACGGTGGAATCAACAGTGCCCCGATCCGATGCTCTTCCGATACCCGGCCACGTACGCACCGAGTGGCGCCACTAACGATCGCCGCGAAATCGCGCACGATCGAGCAACCCAACGATAACTTATTCGAAACGATCGATCGGCCAGTTATCATTCCGCTAATTGCCCGGGCTAATTCATGATAATGACAGACAAATCGGCTAGCGGGTGGGGATGAGCGCGTGCAAACGCCGCCAAAAATCATTGTCGAAGATATTCCGGTAATATTCCTTTTTTTCGTATTTTTTGACGACGTCGCGTTATAAATACACATCAAGAACAATTTAACGGCGTCGATTATGATTCATTGTGGCTCTTTTCTCAGCCTGAGGATCAGATACCCTATTGTATTAATATAAGGTAACATTTTATTATTAAATGTTGAATCGTTAAAATAAAATAATATGGCGGCCTTTTGACCTCTTTAGGGAAATTTGTTATTTAATTTGATAATCCACGACGGGACATATTCAAGTTTTATTCGTGTATTGTTATTAATATTTAGAAATAAATAATTCGTATAATAATATTTTAAGCCAAAATGTAGTATATGCAGCCTTTTTTAATCCTAATCGAAGCTTCGGAGTAAAGGAGAGAAACGGATTTTGAAATTAAATTGGACGATTTACGCGTCATCAGGGAGGATAATTACGTACGTGATGGAGAGTGGTTATTGTTATTCGAAGTTGCGAGGGAGTTTTCATTTGTGCGACAGATGTCGCCAATATGGCGAAGTGCAGAGTACAAATGATAAATATGATTGAAACGCGTGTATATAACGATATGATTTTTCACTCGTTGGATGTAAAATGTTTCCGCGCTCGTTACGGTAAAAATATTTGTACCACTTGAGTGCAATGGTAAATATCACGATTCTATCTGTGGAAAACCGATAAAAATAAAAGCACGTTACAAACACAGTACAAGAAGTACGCGATGTATCATCGCGTGTAAGACGTGTTCTTTGTGGTATACGGTTACTGAGATGGAAAAAAAACAGAACACGCAATAAAAGAATGGTCGTGAAAGTAGAAAAAGATATTAAAAGATGCAAACTTACCCTCTAACTCGACGATGATTATCTGACCAGCAATAGTCCCACGGCATATAACACAAATGAGTGCTGTAACATGTAAAACAATAAATTAACATAATTACCGTAAAGAATTCGTGACGTTAAAAATTGCACATTGTTCTAGTCAATAATTAACATTACCACTGTTATACATTCGAAATTATACTCCAAACACCACGCCACGGGGCGTCCAGCTTTCACAAAAAGTTCGTTACTAAAATGATTCGATTGTTAAATCGAATATATCGATTACTCATCGATTAATTTCTTTCTGTACAATATAATACAGTACAATTACAAATGCTATTGTTTTCTTGAAACAAATATGATACTTTTGATTTTTCGTGATTTTATTGATAGACAAGTCAACAATAATAAAATCGCAACAAATTAAATAAGAAGATAAAGTCCGAGTCTAGGGAATTTTCAGACCGTTTCACACTGGTGCGCCAAGCACGATTTCCGTTTCAGCCATCTTGAATATTTTAGTTCGTTAGTTGAGCGTACAAGGCAGCGTAGCGCCCGTGATCGATTCGATTCGCGCAAACTCCGGAAAAATAATAAACAAAAGGAGCGATGAATCTTTTCTATCGGAGTTGCCCGATAATGTGTCGTATTGTGTCTTTGCTTGTTTAAGTGTTTACACGCGTGGAACGACACTGTGAGGTGAGTTTACGTAACGCAAGACTGTACGTTGTTATTTGAGCACACTGCATCATACAAATAAACCTTCTGCCAATATTTGTCCCAACATTTGCCGTATAAACTTTAAGAATTTTGAGGTTATATTGACAGTCTATGATGGTCGCGTAACAAGAGGCCTTTAACACGTCGGCGATATTGTAGAAATCGTTCAATTTCTGTGTTCAAGCGCGAACTCGCGGAATTTGCGCACGGTGCATTCAATTTAGACATGTTCCTCGTATTTTTCCTAGTATAAAAGTTCGTTAAAAAATAAATTGACCAGAAATTTTGACGCATTCGCTCAAATTGCCATTCGCCACATTTGTTGGTACGAATTTTCAGCCTCCCCTTCTACTGCAGCTATTTACATTCATATCGTGGTGCTTACGTGACATAATTATTGATATCTTTTAACTGATAATTTTCCTCTTTATACTCGTTGATCAACGATATGACGTCGTTTTTCCTTGCTTCCTCGTTTCGGAGATGGAATCTCATTATGAACGTTGTTGTAAAATAATTATAAAATTTTTCAATAAAAGTAAGTGAATAATGATAACAATGTTAGTTAACGATCAATGATAGTTGAGTGTTTGTTTAGAGATGTTTTTGCTTATGTGTCGTTGTGTATGTTTGTAAACAGTGAATTATTATTCTTACTTAAAATATCTTTGTTTTCAGTTCAAAGATGACAGAAGGTGGTGCCACTAGAATGAAGCGCAATGGCGCACGTCTTTTTAAAAATCCTCCCCAACCTCACATGTGTATACAAGATTTCTTACAGGTATGCCTAGACAGAAAAGAACTCTGAGCGAGTTCGAGAAACTTTCAATGGCTTTGTTATTTTAGGGCACTGCTGTCCCGTGTTACGTGAATGTTTTATCTTGGGAGAAGATTACAATGCCACTGAACCCGTCGCAGCCGGTACGATTTTACGGAGGAATGAGAGTTCGCCCACCACGTACAAGGGCAGAGGCAGTAGTGTTCGCGGTAATGGCTAATCCCGAAGTTCTTCGAATTAACGGCAAAAACGCTCAAGATCCAAAGGTAATTGTAGTACACAATTGTTATACTTGAACACATTTATGAAGAACAATGTCCTGCATGGCTCTATTTTTGCTGCAGAAGCGTTCCAGCTTAATAGAACTTTTACTAGACTTTGTGGAAAGGATGAATACAGGCATAGTGTTTATGCGGCAGTATACGATACTGAAAGATCGAGATATTACCGGTGAATTGAAAGAAGTTTGGAACGCGGTGCAAGCGAGGCGAGATATGGAGCAACCGCCGCCGCAGCAAGAAACATGGATCGACGCGCAGCCACCCGTTCCTCAGTATCCTCAATATCAAGATCATCAGCAGCAAGATTACACGTCTCAACCACCGCAGTATCACTCGAGCGTAGCATACGGCAGGGCAATAAGTAACGAAGCTATGCATTACGATGGCTATGGTCATCAACCTCAGAATCCAGTAATCACGCAGAACGATCAGATGTACCAATCCGGGCAATTAATACCACAACAATATCATGGAAACGTACCTCGGATTACGCCGATTTCTTCTAGAGATCGTCGAGATAACATACAGAATATTCCGCAACAAAACTGCCCTGCGTATCCGGCGCCGCAATATCAATTTCAGCAGTTGCCGAGGCAAATGGTACCTCAGTATGTAAATTCGAACGTTCATCCTAATACAGGTCTTAATTACGGGCCAGCAACGAATGCCAACGTTAATCCACCTATGAACACAAATTTAGCAGCACCTTTTCAACAGTATATAACTTATCAACAGCGAATGGACAACGCGATGCACATTGATATGCGCAGAATGCAACCGCAACAGCAGCAGATCATGTGCAATCATGTACAGCCGGTTCCGCAGTATGAGCCGGCGGCGTCGTACAATATTCAAACGACTTCGTCGATTAACGTTGTTAGACTAGGTAGACCGCATATGGGTGTCGCTCAGAAGAATAACGCCAGTAAGAGACAAATGAATTCTCCTACTCATTCCAAACACTCTTCCTGTGTAAATTGCCAGAACAAGGACACGTCCGAGAATGGCGCGAAACCGAAGAGTCCTGTGAAGGTCTTGCAGCGCGAGATACCGTCGAACGATCGGCAGGATGCAAATCATCATATACTCAATGATAATAATAAAGTCGCAGAAAAGGATTCGGTGGAAGAAACGAAGAACGTGCAAGTAACGGACTTAGACGAGTCTGATAGCCAGGAGCTATCTAGAAAGCCAAGTGATACTCACGCTTCTGATACAACGGCAGCGAATACGACGAATTCTGTCGAAGACAGTACTCCTGCTTCCGAAGAGAAGCAACAAGAGACAAAAGGTACGGACGTTCCAAACGGACAAAGTTCATCGGATCAAAAATATTCAAAGTCGAAAGCTGCCGTGACGAAAGGAAACAAGCACAAAGAAAATACGGAAAATAACAGAACGAGTCGGATTGGATTCGTTTCTGATCAAAAGAACGACAGTCCGAAACGTTCACAGACGGTTAATAGCATCATCAAGAGTGTTTTCAAGATTCACCCCGGTATGTCCGGCGAAGAAATGTCAAACAAGCGAAAAACAAACGGACAGGCGAAAAATAATACTAAAATTAATGGCGAGAACGAAGACATACAACCGGGATATATGATATTGAAGAAAGGAGATTCAACCACTCAAGAAGAAATAACGAGCGAATTAGCCCAACTGTCCATTCAAGACTGCAAAGATGCGACCGAGGTTGGTCCCGTGCTCTCGTGATAGTCTAGTTTATAGCTGGTGCTACCAGGTGCTAGCTTGCAGCTAAACAGCAATGAATACAATGTAAATAGATAGATGATTAATCTATTAAAGGAAAAAAGGAAAAAAAAAAGAAGGAGAAGAAGAAGAAAAAGTCACAATGGAAACAAGTGTTAAAGAGGGGGACACGAAATCACAATACATATGAATACAATCGTACCAAAATACTATAGGACGTGCTTTTGCTGAACGCCGTTTATTTTTTGACGAATCCATTCGTCTTCCTTCGCATAATTTTTGACAAGACGGATCATAGTGAAAAGTTTTTCAACTGTGAAACTGGATAATTTTAAGCCGAATTTAGGAAATATCTATTTTCTGTGGGTATAATGTACGCAGACGAACAATAGAAAACAAAAAAAAAAATGCTTTTGAAGAAAGATTTTAACAAGATCTACGCTAGATACAAGTGGAACTTTTAGAAGAGTGATTCCCGTTAAATGTTAAATACGTTAAGGAGTGTTCATAATACAAGTTTAAGCAGCAACGTTAATCGCGATATCCGTTAAACCATTTTTTTTGCTTCCAGTAATGTTTGTTGATAGTGAAGTCTTCGAGTGAAGAAACAAAAATTATACTACAGCCATCGACGTTTGCATGCTGGATGCAAGGAACGAATTTGCAATTTCCGATTATGGATTTGAATAGATAACATGTCTGGAATAGTACAGTTTTTCGAGTCGAAAAAGAAAAACCGAGGAGAAAAACTGACCGATATATCTGGTATTTCAATAACATATGTCATTTAACGTAAAGTATCGAGTCGTTCCCGTAGGTTAGACCAAGAAAACAGTTTCACGATGGAATAACAGCTGGTCATCGCGTACTTACCTTCCAAACAAGCAATTAGTGGAATTACTTTCCGTAATTACCGGGTGGTACAAATCAATACACGTTCGATAATAATAACATTGATTGTAGTAGGTACGTAATAGCTTTTAAGAATTGAACTCAGATTCTCGTCTTCGCATTGATGCTTCCGAAGACTTCGCCTCTTTTATTTTTCATACTCGTGCCGTGAGGTGTCTCGCGCGTGAAATGGGAGATTTCGAACATTGCGTTTAAGACTCCAAAAACAAAACAACAACAAAAAAAATAGATAAATAAATGGAACAGAAAGAGACAGAAAAATTTGTCCATCCGGTACGTATTCTTTGATAGTATCACTCCGTTCTAATATATGCCATAGATTTCTTAATGAAATAAAAGAAGAAAAGACACAGGGCTGCCAAACCTCTCCGCGAGTCATGTCTGGAGGGATATTAACACAAATAATTTATTGATTGACCAGCTTTTTCTCTTTGACTTGTACACGTTATTTTATCGCAGTTTTTGTAGCTTGCCTAAGAGGCTTTTTAACGATTCGCGCAAAGGGAAAAAGGACGGAGAGCCAAAGGAAATGGTAACGGCTCATCTTATCGGTGATTCGTATCAATAGAGATTGGACGGTCAATTAATAAAACTTGGCTTCGTTCGGCCGTGCACGGGTGATGTGTCGGTGCGTTAGTTCAACATCGAATTAAACCACGAAGCCTCTGTAAATTCGACGTGCCGTTTTGCATTCTAAACGTAAAGTATCGCTGCCACGCGAAACGACATCGTCTCCTTATCAATTTATTTAGCATTGTTAGACCACTGTCGTGCGGTGCGTTCTGGCGAATTGCATGCTCTGATATTTTATAGGAATATACCCCGTCATTCATTTACAGTCGATACAATGATCGAGGAACTTTTAAAATGAAACAAAACAAAACAAAAAAAAAATGGCAAGGGAGACAAGAAGAAGACGCAAAAAATACAAACAACGTCGATGTGATCTTATGTAACCGAACTAATTAATCTCGACATCTTTTTTTTGTCGTTCTCCCAATTTTTTTTTTTTCTTTTTTAGATATCGAAAACAAAAAAAAATACTTTTTTTTAATATATAGACCTTGTCCGTATGTTTTTTCTTTTCTTTTTTCTTTTTTTTTTTTTTTTTTTTTTTTTTTTTTTTTTTTTTTTTTTTTTTTTTTTTTTNTAGTGTATTCGAGGTGCTTCGTTAATAAGTCTAAGATCTCAGCTCGTGATATACAAACAATAAATTTAGTCATCGATGGTTATGGCGCTGGTGGGAAAGGACCAATCCGCAAGACCAGGGTGCAATTAACGATTCCCAGATGCCTGGGGGAAAAAAAAAAAAAGAAACGTAGAATTCCAAAAACGAGCTGGTTCTCGAGTGGAAAAAAAGATGTGCCCGATCTTTTTCTTTTTTGTTTATTCTTTCGTTTATTATTATTTTTTTTTTTTCATTCTTTCTCGCTCTTCCATCGTCTTCGGCTTGTATGAAGAGAAGAAATAAAATGAAAACATAACGATAATAATTTGGCGTGTAAAAAACTCATCGCATGCTAACAAGCAAATATTGAAGTGTTTTCACATGTGCGTATACTACGCAAACATGTTACGAGCGCATACACGGGGAAACGAAACGCGAGTATATACATAAACGTGTATAAATATGTGAAAAGGTTTTTTCCTTGGTTTTTATACGACAACGCGTAATACGATGAAGCGTTTACGGGTTTTCGTGTTCAATCGGAGAGAATGATCGAACAAATGATCTATATTTTATTATTTTTCGAAGGAGGAAGAAAAGAAATGAGGAGAAATTTACATTTTATATGAATCAGCGCCGTGAAATGCGTTGCTTTTTTTAAATCATATATTGCTAGTGGCAATTTATCGTAATTACTTTAGCAGTAAGTCTTAAACGCAGCCAATTGTGATTACTGTCATTGTATTTCGTTTTTTTTTTCTCCGTCTTGTTCTATCAATTTGAAAGTATAATTTTTTTTTTTTTCTTGCATACACGATAAGAGGAGCGGATTGAGATCGTCTTGCGTCTCAGATCATTTGGCCAATTTTATTTTAAAATGCTCAAACCGACGATAACGCGTCGAAGAATATTTAGGTTATCAATCCAGGGATCTTATTGATTTCGTCGAGTTTAATATTTACTTCCCCTCGTCCCCTATTTTTTTTTTTTTTTTTTTTTTTTT